GGGGGAGGGCCTTCTCTGTTGGAGCCCCCTCCCTATGGAACGAACTACCCCCAGAGATCCGGGTCATCCCGGATCTCCCCTCCTTCCGCCGCGCCCTCAAGACATGGCTATTCCAGCTAGCGGGGCTGGCCTGAGGGGTATTTTAGATTGGATTTTAATTTGATTTTATATTGGGTGTTCACAAAATTTTAAATGAAACAGCAAAATTAATATTTCTTTTAATTGTATTTTAAAATGGTGTTTGTAAGGTCTTTATCTGTTTTTAGCTTGCTGTAAGCCGCCCTGGGTCCGCCAGGAGAAGGGCGGGGTATAAATCTAATAAAATCTAAATCTAAATCTTATCTATTGGATAAATCTATTTTGATCAATATAAATGATTTTGCACTAGAGTGTTCAAATAAATTGATTTGATTATAGTATAAAGGAGATGTTTGTGGCAAACAGTGCTGAAGTGTAATTTACTAATCTGTTTGTTTATACACAGTTTTGCCTGTAGGAGTATCAAAGGCCTGTTCCTCCTGTATAAGAACAGTTGACATCAAAGATGTTTGCACGCAGTGTGATCAATACATATGCCAGAACTGCAGCAAACTCTGCAGCTGTTGCAGCACCATTATCTGTTCATTATGCTCAGTTATAGAGTAAGTGCCTATACAGATATGCCTTAATTTCCTTTGGTTGTATTGCACTGATAAATTCTGGAGGGGTTTATAGTTGTAATATGACAAAAACTAGATGCAAAACTTAATAAAGATGATGTGAGATAAAATGAGGCTGCAGAAAGTTTTGCATTAACAATTTTAAGAACTAATACCCATAAATCAAATTCATTTTTGATTCTTGATAGAAGGGAATATTTTACACACTACAATTTATTACTTGAATTCAGTAACATTGGAGATAGATTCGGCTGAATTAATTACTACAGTATAGCTAAATCAATCTTTTATGACAGGATTGTCTAATTGGTTATTTGAATTCAGCAAGGCAGTTCTTATGTTTCAAAGCTTAATTTTCTCACAAAGCATTGTTGCATGTGGAAGAGCTGTAACAGAAGTTGTGTTCTCTTAGAACTTACTAATCAAAAGAGACATTAAACTAACTTATCTTTTTTTTTAGATCGGAGGATGTTGGAGATCAAATCTTTTGCAGTGGCTGCTCAATGTACAAAGAATAAACTGCTGTTTTTAGGAAATGGTTATCATTAAGTGTTGTAAAGAATGTATTGCTTTTAAATAATTAGGTTTTTGAGATACTGGAGTGCCTTTTTCTAAATATTGTATATTCTGTAATTGTAGTTTAATATAATAAATATTTTATATTTTGATAAGACCTGATTTTTGTGTTGCTTGATAAAATATGAATCTTATATCCATTGTAGAGAATATAGAATGGATTCTTAGTATCCCCAGACATGCTCTCAGATTTAGTTTGGAAACCTTGGAGACCTAATGAAGTTCCTTTGTTGCATCAGCATTAGGAGTTGGAGCGTGATAAAATATCTTAAGTGAGAGTAAACAGGATTAGTTTATTTGAACATACCTGACATACTGTTTTTGCAGTATCCAATAAAAGAAAATTATTTATAGATTTGATTTCTAATTGAAAATCACTGTTCTAATCTTAAAATAATTCTTGATTTGACACTTCTATGTGAAAGAAACTCTCTTACCTGCTTTTAATGCTATCAGTAATGGTCTTCCTGCATAGGAGTTGAGTGTACACTTAGATTTTGGGGTAGAATATCTAATGGCAGATTCCACTTCTACCTCCACTATTTGCAACATGATCCAGAGCAAGACCAAACATGAGAGAAACAGGATTTTATTACTTAAAGCTAACTCAATAGGTTTTTAATCTGAATCACTGCAGAATGACTCTGAAGGAATATATCCCAGTGAAGGCAGTTATAAGGTCTAAAGGAATCAATGCAAATTAGCTGCCTGCCCACTCCACAGTGAGTCTAGATCTCCAAATCCATCCCCAAAACAGAAGTTATCTAAGAAGTCTGTAAGTCTATAACTGGACGTGTAAACCATACTTACAGTTTGAAGTCCTTCACATCTTGATCCACAAATAAAAAGCCTGACTTAAATGGCTCAGGGCTTCCCCATAGGTGGTTGGCCCACATACTATTTAGAGTTTGACATTATGGCTGCTTTGGGGGCTGCCTATTTTCAAAATGATACCTAGGGTATCTTAATCAGGCATAGAACAAAAAAATAAGGTCATGGAATGTGGAAGTCATTAAGGGACCCATCATCAGATACAGTGGTGCCCATGGGCCTTGTAGCTGTAGCTCTTGAAATATCTCTTAAATAATCCAGCAGTAGTTATTACAGGGAAGATGAATTCAGAAAACTACTTTCCTAGAAAAATTATACTCCTCCCCTTCATTTTCTCCTAATCAATTACCTGGTAGGAGGGCTGGCTATAGAACAAGGTCGACCCCAAATTTGGGAGTGTTAGGCTGGACTCAAAACATAGAGGAATAGCTAAGAACCATGCAAACATTTGTGCACAATAACCTTCCTTTATCTCTGATCATTGTCATTTGCAATCAGAATACAGAAGAATGGCATGTATGGTGTTGCAGAGAGAAATTCAGAAACAAAGTTTAATTTCTTCTCCTTTAACAAGAATGATTTTAGGATTTTGCCTACCAGTGCACCCAAAAGGATAATAGGCTTCCTTCCTGCCACAACTGAGCTTGAAAGCGTGGCTATCATCAATTTTCTGTGTCACAGGTAGCAAGTCAGAATGAGACTTTAGTCATGAAGGCCAAACACCTCTTTTACCTAAGCTGGCTCAGGAATTCTGGGAATTGAAGTCCACGAGTCATAAAAGAGCCAAGGTTGACTACCCCTGATATAGACCAAGCAAAAAGAAAACAAAGCTCAAATCGTCCTGTTTCTGCTTGCAAGAGTTGACAGTTTAGGTGTTAATGCAGCACAACAGATAGAACTGGCATCAGCATCCAGCAGTCCTGGAGGCTCCACATCGCGATAGGACCTACTGGCAACACTTAGTCTTGAGGTGCCTCTTCACTCTTTCTTCTGACCTTTTATACTGAGAAACATCTGGAAGCTTAATTTAGCGGGGGTTTTTTTCTTCCCCCAAACATTTTTCTCATCAACGCTCAGCCCTGGAAAAATGTAAAACTCGATCAAACTATTTTGTGCACAACTATTGCATCAAAATTCCAAGGTTGGCTGCTAGACGATCCATCAACTAATACTTTGCCCTACAGAGCTCCAACTTAGAAGTCAGCCTGGTGATAAAACCATTTTTCCCCCTTCATGCAAACCCCTCCTTGGGGACATTTCAAGTTGTTATTTGGAGGTGAGCTCCCGAGGACAGAGAGTTTTCAAGAGCAAAATCAGGACTTTGTAGCTCAGTCCTATGGAAATATACTCTGCCCCCTTTCTTAGCTCTTTAACATCAATTAAGCAGAGTTTATTTAAGAAATGTCTTGGTTAAGAAGATTCTTTGCACAATTTTACCACTTGTCATATTGGTGGGGTGTGTGTGTGTGTGTGTGTGTGTCTGTTATGAAACTTAACATTTTAATAAAGGGGAGATAAGATTTCAAGCTTGTGGTACCAGACTGGGGTAAAATAGCAGGTAGGAGAGAAGGTGGGACCAGACACAGTATATTAGCTTCAGCTGGAAAAATCAGTACACAAGTTGTAACAGAATTTGAGATTTAAACAGTCTGCTTATATCTGACAAAGCACATGCAGGCATGTCAAAGGCAATCTACAGTTGGCATCAACAAATGCTGGACTGCAAACCTTTGTTTTGGGATGTTTAAAGTCATTATCATCAGCCACTGAGAATCTTCTGATTGCGCAGGATGTACATTTGATTAGTAAAACAATAAACTCATGCACATCCAGGAGTAAATTACTGGTCAAGGATGAAATCTATAGTCCAGTAATTATCCAGGCTACACGTTTTTGAAGCACGTGATCACTGAAGCTGAGCAACTGTGAATGAATGTGAAGCAGATAATTGAAGATCATTCTTTTTTTGTTGTTTACTATTCTATTACTATTAGACTATTGAAGGTCTAAAGCAGTGGTTCTCAACCTTTTTAATGCCGTGACCCCAACCGGTCATAAGTCGAGGACTAAACCGGTCGTACGTCGAGGACTAAACCGGTCGTAAATCGAGGACTACCCAACCGGTCGTAAGTCGAGGACTTTCCCTGCCCGGGAGTGCCGCGCATGCGTGGTTCTGCCCCCTGCGCCGGCCGAGGCGTAGCTGGCAAGCGGCAGAGACGGAGCAGGCCGACCACCAGCTGGCCCAGCCCAAGGGAGGTAAGGCACCCGCCGGAAAAGGGGAAAAAATGGCGGACAAAAAAAATGGCGGACAGCCTTGCTTGGCGACCCCCGTGAAATGGTCGATCGACCCCAAATGGGGTCCCGACCCACAGGTTGAGAACCACTGGTCTAAAGCTTATGCTTTCTGCAGAGTATTGTCGAACTTCCTACAGTTTTAAAGAACTGTGCAAGCAAGGTATGAAGCCAGGAGTTTGCTTCTGAAGTTGTCACTAAATGATTTTTGCAAATTCCTCTTCTTGCAGCTGAAAATACAAAGATAACCTTCACACATTTTCAATGAATCAAGCTGACTTTGTCAAGATCATAGGAATATAGAACTAACTTATACTTACAACCCAACAAACGGAACCCTCCCTACTTCTTCCCTGTCCACTCCTTTCCACCTTAAATCCCAGCTAATGAGTAATATAGGTCAACTTTTTTAACAAATAACACTAATCAGTCATAGCTATTGATCAGCCTTGATTCACTATTGAGAAGACTGCATAATAAGAAAAGTCTGCATCAAATTTGCTTTTTTAATCCCCTATATATTCTACCAAAACCAAGACAAAACTAACTTGTTAAAGCACATTTTATTGAAGTACTTTTGAGGGAAACTTTCATATAAGTAAAAATACTAGAACTGAATGTTGTTAAAAAAAAGTACAACGCACACAACAATGGAATTTTGTGTAAAGGGAAAGTTGTGGGTATTTTAAATACATTCCCTTTCAAATAAAAAAAAGATAAGGAACTGCAATATAGGTCTTTTTTAAAAAAACAGGTAAGAAAACAGAAACACAAGCGTGTCTAAAAGAACATAAAGCCACAACTGAATAAACTCATTCACAGTACGAGAGCTTAAAATCCTGGCCCGTGTCAAAAAGCAAAAAGACAATTTTGTTTGGTAAATCCAGAATGATGTGACTGTGAAAATACAAAATGAAGTGACAAGAAGATAAAAAGAGAAATGAGAGGGGGAAAAAAATCTTGATCGTATAAAGTTTCACCTTAATATTTTTTTTTACATATAGCCATTGCGACCACTGATGGAGTTTTCTTCCATACATCGTGGCACCATCCAGCTTGCCCTCCCTCCCCCCTATAACCTTTAAAAATGTACATTGAAGAGTGGAAAACAGATGGACGGGATGTGCGAAGTATCTTGCCATGTTAATGCCTCTTTAAAACCTGCTGCTGCAATCTGATGCCCTCCAGATGTATCAGGATTGCACACTGCAGAATTCTGTGGCAGCTGAAAGCCCACGCTGCAGAAATATTTGGAGCCGTGACCCGCTTCTGGAAAGCATCAGGCTGGGAAAAGATGTTACTACATATATGGACAGGGCCTATCGCTTCACTGTCAAAAATAGGACTCCAGATTTTGCTCAGTAAGACAGATGTTTCTTCACTTAAGAATATTGTGCATGGTTTGTTTTTTTACTGTGTACAAATTCTGCCCTCTCCCCTGGTCAATTTTTGCAACTTTAAAGCATTTTCAGTTGAAATAGGTGAAACTGATTTGTTTCTCTAAAGTGTAACTTCCCAGAAACATGCTGGGACAAGATTGTAGTATAACTAATGTGCTGTCTTCAGCAGGACATTGTGTAATTTTAAAAACAGATCATTCAGCTCTGTTTGATATGCAACGTGTAGTAGCAGTTGTGCTAACGTCATTTTCTTCTTGACTCTCTCTCTGAAGTTCCACATGCCATTCCTATAAAAGGCTTCCTAGAATTGCCAGCAGATTTCTTGTGGCCTTAATGGCCCAGAGTTTGTTCGTTTTTTGTGTTGCTGCTCTAATTATTGCACTATCTAAGTCTGCCTCTCATCCTAAATAAATCTAATTGTTCAGAGTGCAGCTTTTCTACTTACACATAATGAACAGTATGAAATAAATAAAAAACAGTTGTGTTTTTGTTTAGTTTTTTAAACGGTCGTTTGCTTTAGACTTTTTGAAAGAAAACTTTTGGTGCATGTTCTTAA